AGGACATGAACCGCGTGCTGTCGGACCCCAGTGATGACACCAAGGGTTTCTTCGACCCCAACACGCACGAGAACCTGACCTACCTGCAGCTGCTGGGGCGCTGCGTGAGCGACCCCGACACGGGGCTCTACATGCTGCAGCTGGTGGGCCCAGACGCCGCCGTGCACCAGCTGGGTGAGGAGCTGCGTGCAGCACTGCGCGGGGCCCGTGCGACACTGAGCTCGGGAGTCCTGAGGGGACAGAGCATGTCGGTATGGGAGTTGCTATTCCACCGGATGGTCCCTGATAGCCAGCGGCAAGAGCTGCTGCGTAGGTACAGGGCGGGCAAGCTGACCGCACACGAGGTGGGGGCCGCCCTGACGGCCCTGCTGGATAAGGGGCATGCACACAGGAAACGTGGGGACTCCCAGGACCCTCAGGAGGCCCTGCGTGCCGCCACCATGGAGGTACACGTCGGGCAGTTCCAGGGCCGGTCACTGTCCGTCTGGGACGTCCTCTGGTCCTCTTACGTGTGTGTCACCACCCGAGAGGAGCTGCTGGCCCAGTTCGGCTCAGGGGCACTGACCCTGCCTGAGCTGACCCGCAGGCTGACCGTCATCATCAAGGAGGCTGAAGGGCACTCTGCAGCACAGAGTGGAGGTCACCAGGACGGGACAGCCCGCAAAGGGCCCTCCACAGCAGGGAAGGAAACAGAGACCATCGATGACGCCAATGCTGAAGCAAATACCAAGGCTGACCAACGCCGCCAGGAGGAGGCTCTCCGTGCTGCCACCATGCAGCTTCACGTCGGGCAGTTCCAAGGCCAGTCACCATCCGTCTGGGACGTTCTCTGGTCCTCATACCTGACTGAGACCCGCCGACAGGAACTGCTGGCCCAGCACGCGGCTGGCACTCTGACCCTGAGTGCCCTGGTGTCCGTCCTCACCCAGCTGGTCGAGAAGATGGAGGAACGGCTGAGCCGGGTGTCCTTCCGTGGCCTGCGGCGCCAGGTGTCTGCCTCTGAGCTGTGCAAGGCCAAGATCCTGGGCCCTGAGATCCTGTGGGACCTGGCCCAGGGCACCAAGACCTTGGAGGAGGTCGCAGAGATGGATTCCGTCAGGCGCTACCTGCAGGGCACCAGCTGCATCGCCGGCGTGCTGGTGCCCTGCAGGGACGCTCCCGGTCGCCAGGAGAAGATGAGCATCTACCAGGCCATGTGGAAGGGCGTGCTGCGGCCCGGCACCGCCTTGGTGCTGCTGGAGGCCCAGGCGGCCACTGGCTTCATCATCGACCCTGTGGGCAACAGGCGGCTGTCGGTGGAGGAGGCCGTGGCCGAGGGCGTGGTGGGTGGCGAGGTGCGTGACAAGCTGCTGTCGGCCGAGCGCGCGGTCACCGGCTACAAGGACCCCTACACGGGCCAGCAGATCTCCCTCTTCCAGGCCATGCAGAAGGACCTCATCGTGCGGGACCACGGCATCCGCCTGCTGGAGGCCCAGATCGCCACGGGCGGCGTCATCGACCCCGTGCACAGCCACCGCGTGCCCGTCGAGGTGGCCTACCAGCGCGGCTACTTCGACGAGGACATGAACCGCGTGCTGTCGGACCCCAGTGACGACACCAAGGGCTTCTTCGACCCGAACACGCACGAGAACCTGACCTACCTGCAGCTGCTGGAGCGTTGCGTGCGCGACCCCGACACCGGACTCTTGTTTCTGTCTCTCTCCAAGGGGCTTTAAGATCTCTCAGTCCATTGTCTCAGTTGTTGGAAGTCGTGCCTTATTGATTGCCAGGACTTCCGTACCGTCCGCTTTCCCCTCCCGTCTGGCCGGTGTTCTCATGGCCCTGTTCACTGGCCTCCTGCGCTCCCTTTCCTGCCTCCAGCACTGGGCTGGGCTGCGGTCTTTTCCCAAACCGGAAGCATCCTCTTCTCTCATCACACCACCTCCTATGCCCCGTGTCTTCTTGCTCGTCACCGCCTGCCTGGCGTCCTTTTTGTCTCTCTCTAGCTTGCTTTTTATTTTCATAAAATCCCTGGAATGCCCCTTGGAAGTGAGAATGGTCAGCTTCGTCTCACCTGCTTTGGTCCTGTTGTCAGAAGGGACCATTCCCTGGAGAAGGATGTCACGCTTGGTAAAGTGCAGGGTCGGTGAAGGAGGGGAAGGCCCTCAACGAGATGGACTGACACAGTGGCTGCAGAGACGGGCTCACATGTAGCAGAGATTGTGAGGCTGGCGCAGGACTGGGCTGTTTCGTTCTGCTGAACGCAGGGTCACGATGAGTCAGAGCCGACTCGACGGCACCTAACAGCGCAACAAAGTCCTCGTAACATAAAATCTCGTGAGCCCAGTTTGAGCGTATTTAGTGGTAGGTGTACGCACCGCACCGTGTCATCACCCCACCCCCTTTCCAGCGCTTTGTCATCCTCACACACGCAGCACACGCAGCGCCCCTAAGCATGACTTCCCACCCTCCCGTCCTGTCAGCCCTAGGAAATTCCCTGCTACTCTGGTTGTCACCCATTTTGTTTTCTGGATAGTTGTCATAAGTGAATTCACATACGTCCTTTGTGTCTGGCTGAGGTCCTGTGGGGTAGTGTTTCCCTGGGTCATCCACGTCGTAGCATCTGTCAGAAGCCCCTTGCTCTTTCAGGCTGGATAACCTCCCGTGTACGTAGGCCCTACATTTGGTGGATCCATTTATCTGTTGATGGACCTTGGGCGGGTTCCTCCTTCTGGCTGCTGTGAATGAAGCTCCATGGACATGAGTGTGCACGTTTCTGTCTGAATCCTTGCTCTCAGCTCTTTGGGGTACACACACAGGAGGACAGTCGTTGGGCCGGACGGTAACCATGTAACCCCGCAGGAGGTGCTGTGTGTTCTCCACGCCAGACCTTTTCTATGTCATGGAAAATCTGCAGTTGATCTCCACTGACATCCACCGTTGCCTTCCAATTAGAGAACCTTTTCTTGGGCCTTGAACTGTCAGTCTGAAGTATACACATCACTCTGTCCTTTTCTCCAAAATGGGATTAAATACATTGCTAAGACTTATTAATTTTTTTCTGCACTCACGGAGTAACTCGTTTTCTGTCCATGTGTGTATCTGAACAGCCACGGCTCCAGGTTCATAATTTCTCTGCACTGGCTCCGTGCCCGGTGCTGTCTGGCTGGGACCAAAGGCTGGGTTTTTCCTCAGTCTTGGCTCAGTACTGGGAGGTGCAGCCCTGGCCTGGGCCAGCTGACCTTCGGGGGCGGGGAGGGTGGGTCAATGGAGTTGGAGGCCTGAATCTGCATGTTTGTGAGGAGGTAGGAGCCAGTCTGTTTGTCTTGAAATGCAGGTGTCCGAGGCCTCTCTGGGAAGGTGATATGAGCCAAGACCCCAAGGGCTTCCCAGGCAGAGGGCCAGTGCCAAGGCCCCGGGCGGGGCGCCATCACGCTGGACACACAGCACGGAGACCAGGTGGCTGGAGTGCATTCTGTGGACAGAAGGCAAGAGGCTGAGATTGAGTGGGAGGGCCAGATGCTGGGGTCCAGGGACCAAGGTTGAGGCCTGGCTCCCACTGCAAGTAAGAAGGGACTGCTGGAGGGTGTGCTGGGGTCCCCAGTCCGCCCTCAGGTTCACTGGCTGACTAGGACTCCCAGGACTCAGCCACTGGAGCTGTGGCCACAGTCTAGAGCCGAGAAAGAGCTGGGGAGAGGACAGTGGCACCACGCAGAGAGCATGCCTGCAGCATCGACACTGGGGACACTCCACCAGCCTCAGGCTGGGTCACACAGACGTGGGCCACCTGTTCCTCTGACCCTGGCCGCTCAGCCTGCAGCCCCGCCACAGGCACACGGATCCCGTATGGCCCAGGGCCCACCATCAATCACACTGCAGCAGGGACTGTTTGCCCGGCCCAGGGCCCCAGGCCTATGAAGACACCTTGTCAGGAAGGGTGCTCCAGGGCCTAAAGGCTGCTTCCTGGGAGCTGGTCAAGGGGCCATCCTGTCTTTGCAGCATGCAGAGTTTGTGCATCCAGGCTGATGCATCAGCCCTGCACGGCACGAGGTTCTGAGCAAGTGAGGGTGGTGTCCACGGGGTCACCTGGTGCTGGTGGCAGCCGGGAGCATGTGGAGGGAGCTGCAGGGTCCAAGTGGAAAACACTGGTCCTAAAGAGTGATGGACAGTTTCGAGGGTCAGATGCCACTGGCCAGAGCACTGGTTGGAGAGAGAGGAAGAGGGGTCGACCCAGCTCTGAGAGGCCAGTGGGAGGGAGTTTGGGGATGGTCATCTCCAGGAGTAGGTGAGGGTGGGGGGCAGATGCACAGGGAAGAGGTGCTGCAGAGGGAGAATCCCAGAGCCAGCCTGGAAGGAGAGTGGGGGTGCAGGCTGAGTGGGGTGGGCTGTGCCCCTGGTTCCCTCCACCGCTCCAGGAGGGAAGAAGTGGGAAGGGTCCACTTTACAAATCTGCTGCCAGTGGTGTGGCCTCCAGCTCACATGTGTGAGTAGGGCTGTGCCCCCCGGGGTGTTCAATGGCTGAGTTTTCAGAACGGTGGCCAGCCCTGTGTATCAAGGTGTCTGGAAGTGGTCTCCCATCAGCAGCGAGCGCAACCGTCTGCACCACAGACAGCAGGCCCTGTATACCCATCCTGGAATGTGGGCAGCAGAGTGTGGACGTGAAAGGGAAACCTGGATGGGCAGTGGGGCACGATGAATCCTGGTGGCAGGACAGCCTGCTTGAGAGTGGCCAGGACGCTGTTGGGACCCTCCCACTTGCTAATTTTTTTGGGGGGTGCCTGACGTGGAGAGCAGGGCCCCACTTGTGAGAAAGGGCCCCTGGGGCTGGAGATGGAGAGCTGTGGCAGCCGCCCACTGCCCCGCAGGGACCATCCCCGGTAGAGCAGCTGCTCCAAGCCAGGCCCACCCCAAAAAGAAGTCCCCAGAGGGCGCCGCGGTCAGGCAGGGTGTAGGGGGAATGCAGTGGGAGGCAGTGGCAGCCTGCAGAGGTGGCCAGGTGCGGTGCCCCGAGATTCTGCTGCCCAGGGAGGTCCTAATGGGCTCGCCTCTGGACTGCCCCTGCAGCCTGGGCTCAGCTTGGTCCCGGGCCTCGGATAAGCCTCTGGTGGGCTTGGGCGTAGCCGGGGGCTGGGCGCCACAAGTCGGGGCTTCTGGAGAGGCAGGACCTGGGGCGGAGTTGGACTGGACCAACGGGGATACAAGCGCGCAGGAGCCTTGGACCAGGCTTCAAGGGGTGAGGCTTGTAACGGAGCGGGGCGGGGCTCTCGGAGGGGCGGGGCATGTGACGCAGAGGGCGGGGCTCTCGGATGGGCGGTGCATCGCCTGGGGCGGGGCTTCTGGGGGAGCGGTGCCTGGGGCGGAGCTGCACGGGCCTGGGACCGGGCTCCAGCGGACAGGACCAAGCGGGACGTATAGGCCCGGCGCCGCGGGGACGCTCCACTCCGACTCCAGCCCGAGGCGTCGGCTCCAGAGGGGCGGGCCGACTCCACCTCTGCGCCCGCCTCAGACCCGCGCGCGCCCGCGCCTCCAGATTCCCGGGACCGGGTGGGGGGCTCCAGGCGGCAGCTGCGGCACCCCGCTCCGGCTC